CCCCAAAACCCCAAAACCCCAAAACCCCAAAACCCCGTACAAGATTTATTCTAAAATCGAATCAATCACGAAAAATTTTTAATATAGCCCAATGTCATAAATAATTATAATTTCATATAATGGTTAGTCTCAGTATTTAGATTGAACGCCAGTGGTTCATAGATTCTAGGCAAGGGAATATAAAAGATGAATATTACTTCGAAAAGAAACTTGGTAGTGGAGGTTATGGAGCAGTTTACTTAGCTAAGCATAAGAAGACTGGTAATTACTTGAATGCATTCTAAAACAAATTGATAGGAGTTAAAGTGGCAGTCAAAGCTATGCAAAAAGGTAGAATTCAAGATTACGAAGCATTTTAAAACGAAATTTCAATTTTAAAACAACTTGTAACAGTTGAATCAAAAGTAACATTAATAGGATCATCCCAACATTATTAAATTGCATGAGACTTGGGAAACTGATAGAATTTGTTTCCTGATAACAGAGTAATTATCTACGACTAAATTACATATCTTTTAGATTGTGTGAGGGTGGCGAATTGTTCTATCACATTACCAAAAAGAAGAGTTTGACAGAGAGTTCAGCAGCTATGATCATGAAATAGGCGTTTTATGCATTATGCTATTTGCATAAATCCAGTATTTGTCATAGGTAAAATAATTTAAATAATGCATAAAAGAGACATTAAACCAGAAAATTTCCTCTTGTATAAAGAAAACGACGATTCGCACATTAAACTGATAGATTTTGGTCTAGCTAAAAAAGTCTCCAAAAATGAACTGATGACCACACCAAATGGAACACCATATTATATCGCTCCAGAAGTTTTGAAAGGTAGCTACACCACATAATGTGATAATTGGTCTATGGGGGTAGTCATGTTTATCATGCTCAGCGGAAAGCCACCCTATGGAGGTAAAAATAATAACGAAATCTTAAATAATGTCTTGCATGGAACATTTGACTTCTCAGCACCACAGTGGGAAAATATATCTGCTGAAGCAAAGGATTTAATATCAAATCTATTATAGAGATAGGCTGACATGAGATTTACATCTGAAGAAGCTTTCAACCATCCTTGGATTTAGAGACAAAAGAGAAAAGAGGATGCAGAAATTGTAATAAATCCAGATGTAATTGCAAATATGAGAAATTATATTGAGTCTGTTAATTTCAAGAGAACAACTCTAACATTAATTGCCTCCAGAATCCCTGAAGACCAAATCAGGGCACTCAGAGAGGCGTTCAGTAAGTTCGATAAAAATGGTGATGGAAAACTCACGATTGATGAACTCAAAGAAGGAGTTAAAACTATTAAAGGATGCATGCTCACTAAGGATGACATTTACCAAGCAATGAGTGTGATGGATTCTAACAAAAATGGATTTATAGACTATACTGAGTTTATTGCGGCTTGCTTATAGAGTTACAATTATCTTTAAGAAAACCATCTTTTCACTGCCTTTTCTTACTTTGATAAGGATGGGGATGGTAGTATTACTCAGGATGAGTTAAGACAATGCTTAGCAAATGAAGACTTTACTCTTACAGATGATATGATTGGGAAATTAGTTGAAGAAGTGGACATGAATCATGATAAACTTGTAAGATATTTATTTTCCATCATCAATCATAACATTATATAATAGATCGACTATAAAGAGTTCATTGAAATGATGAAGAACAATTCTGAATTATCGAAATCTGTGCTTGGTAATATCCTTATCTGAGTAAACTAAGATCCTGTTGTCTATAAATAAATCGATGGCATATTATTATTGACTTATGATAATGGATCAATAAAAGACTAGGTATTAATTTTTGGATAAGCTTTCTAAAAATTAAATATATATCCTATAATGGTCTAAAATTTACATAACACCAATACAATGAAAATATTTAGATCTGTGATTGATGGGGTTTTGGGGTTTTGGGGTTTTGGGGTTTTGGGG